GCTACTGTGTCCTTTGGAGCTGACTCACTGGAAAAGACCCTGATGCTGGGAAAGATTGAAGGCAAAAGGCAAAGGGGGTGGCAGAGGATGAGGGATGAGATGGTTAGATAGCATCACCGACTCAATGGGCATGAATTTGAGCAAACTCCAGGAGACAGTGAAGGATGGGGAAGTGTGGCATACTGGAGTCCACAGGGTCACAAAGTGTCAGACATGACTTAGCGGCTGAACAACAAACAACTATTACAGTGTTTGTCACTTTGCTTCAAAATATCTGTTCACATGACCATCTCCTTCTCTAGACTATGAGCTTCTCAAAGGCTAGGTCATCTATGCATTCCCAGCTCTGGCAAAAGCAAGCAAGCACTGGGCAAATATTTGCTGAACATGGCTATGTTTGTGTCAGAATGTTTGTGTCTCTCTAAAATTTATGTGTCAAATCCTAACACCCAGGAGGTGGGGGCTTTGGGAAGTAACTAGGTCACATAGGCGGAGCCCTCATGAATGAGATTAGTGCCCTAAGGAAAGAAGCCCCAGGGAGCCCCTTCATCCCTTGGCCATAAGAGGACACAGCAAAAAGATGACTGTCTGTGAACCAGGAAGCCGGCCCTCATCAGACATCCAATCTGGCCCTACCTTCATCTTGGATTTCCCTGCCTCCAGAACTGCAAGAAATAAATGCCTGTTTTTTATAAGCCACCCCCTCCATGCTGGTCTGTGCTATGTTATTATGGTAGTGCAAACAGACTAAGATGAATGTTGAATGAATGGATGAAGGTGCTTCTAAGGATGGTAGCACTATGTCTTAAAGAAGAGAAAATGGTATCACATAAATAACCCTAGATAATAATCTCATAAATAACATGAGCTGGCTTGTTGAATGGCGACTCAACATGATTTTCTCCTTCTATGCTCTCCCTGCATCCACATCCTTAGAATTTGCAGAGTTACATTCTACACAACATAACCTGAAAATGAAAGACACTAGCTAAAGATTTAAAAGACTGAAATGATGTAGCCTTTACTGTTCCTATAGACATAATAAAACATGAGGTCAGACAGGAACTTCTGTGTGTCCTTCTGCAATTCACTCGTTTTAATCTACAAGGACCTGAGATCAGCAGTACTGGTTCCTTGTGATTCAAGCATTTCTTATTTCCTTTTTTATCCTAAGTACCAAGGATCTTTATTCTCAAGTCTGATATTGAATCTGTAGCTGTAGACAGATATGTGGAGCCATGGTGTCATCCTGTATGTCACTGTGACCGGGTCACATCCGTTCCAAGGACGAAATTTCCAGGAGCTGAGGCAGAGTGTGCTCATAGGGCATTATCATATGCCCAACGACCTATCATATGAAATAAGAACATTAATAGCAAGCATGCTGACCCTCAACCCAACGAACAGAGCTGCTTTACCCCATCTTTGGCAGCATCCATGGGCCAAGACAGGCCAGGAGGAGACACTCCAGCCACTCTGTGAAGAGCACTCGTTGGCGTCAGTGTGGATGTCTCTGGGCTCGAGGTGGGCCGAGAGCGAGAGCTCAGAAAGCCTGAGCTTGAATAGACCCAGGGTGGGGTCCTGTACCATCCTTGTGAAGCCCTCCCTTGCCACAGAGAATTCCAGCACCCCAAAACTCCAGCCTCCAAGCCCTGAGGCGTCCACCTTCATACCAGCCTGGCTATTTCCAGAGGAGACCATTGGGATGCCAGATACAACCGACGACTCATAAGACAAGATCACCAATCCTACTACTCCTCCCCCATCCCATCTTCCTCGTGTGACTCTGAGCCCTCACCATCCAACAGAGGCATCTATGGCATCTGAGGCACCAGTGACAGTCACAGCACCCCTGACACCCACCACACCCAAGGCACCCACGGACGTCGTGGCACCTGCAGCACCCCCAACACCAGTGACACTTGTGATACCAGCAACACCTGTGACATCAGCAGCAAAGCCCCAGAGCGAACCCACTACCCCCTGAGTGTGGCCAACACCGCTGGAAGCTCCTACCAAGGCGGGCAGTCCCACTCCCCAGCCACTCCCTCTCGCCTCAGCAAGAAAAAGAGGGGAGTGGCTGGGAGAATATGGAGGTTTATAAGACAACACTGTTGTGGATGCCCAGCAAAACCCGCACAAGTAAAATAGGCCCAGAAACAACCCATGATGACTGACCAAGACAAAAGGAGCCCTGCTGAGCTCCCTGGGACCCAGTCAAGTGGACTATGGGATTCAAATCCAGCACCTCCATGGCCTTCAGGAACCCTGGCCAGCTCAGAGGATGGTCTGGAGCAGGGGAGACCAGAAGAGGCGTCACCCTGACCCAGCTGCCCCTCCTCTGCACTGGGTGAAACTTCACAGACTGGACTGTCCCCCGGGGCATGTCCCCCTTTCCCACACTCCCCCCTTCCATGTAGGTGGTGGAGGGGATAGTTTTTGCCAACTCCTTGGTTCTTCATAGTTTTAATAAACTTTATTTCTCCAGAAAGATGTATTGCCCTCTGTTTTGCATCCTCTCCAGTTAGAGAAGTGTGTACCATGAGGTAGTTGGAGTTAATGACTGAAGAATTAGCATGATCATTCTGAAGAGCAAGAATTGCTGCACTGCAGGGCGGAAATGCAGAAAGAGTGTATTCCCCTCTCGCACTGACAATACTGAAGAGTTCCAGAAGGGCCGAGGGGAACTTTTGGTCCCTGTAATCATGACTTGGAAGCTTAGGATAGAATAGTAAGTGCCCTGAACTAGCCAGTGTTTGGTGTGGTCAGGTCCCTGTGCAGAAAAGTTTCCTGAATGTCCTGCAGGAGTTGGGCTCTCTCCTCTCTCCTGTGGGGAGGGACCTGATGGGTGGGGTTTGATTTGTTACAATATCTGTTTTACGTTCTGGTGTTTTGGCCTCATGGCATGTGGGATCTTAGCTCCCTGACCAGGGATCAAACTCGCACCACAAAGTTGTAATCACTGGACCACATGCATTCTTGGTGACTCAGTCATGAACAAGTCTTTGCGACTCCATGGACTATGGCCTGCCAGGCTCCTCTGCCCATGGGATTTTCCAGGCAAGAATACTGGAGTGGGTTGCCATGCCCTCCTCCAGGGGATCTTCCCAACCCAGGGAATGAACCTGCATCTCTTATGTCTCCTACATTGGCAGGCGGGTTCTTTACCACTGGTGCCATCTGGGGAAGCCCACGCATATACAGTGCAGACTCATGACAGTCTCCAGTACTGATGAGGATGTGAGCAGCTGGAACATCTGTACGTCATTAGTGGAAAACAATTTGACAGTTTCTTCTAAACATGTACGTATCATATAAGCCAGCGGATCCATTCCCAGGTATTTATCAAAGAAGAATGAAAACTTGTTTTACACATAAGTTCACATATTTATAAATTTTACTCATATAGTTGTATAATATTTGTACAATTGAGTCTCAATCTGCATCTGTGCGTGTCATACTAGAGACGTGTGTCATACGGGAAATGCGTGTCATAAGAGAGATGTGTGTCATACTGGAGATGTGTGTCATTTTCCTATCTGTAGTACGGAAAAATGACACATATCTCTACTATACTCAAACAGACTCAATTCAAGGAACAAACTGCTGATTTGCCCAATATTAAGAATGGATCTTAAAGGTGTTTTGTTCAGTGAAAGGAGCTAGGTCTCAANCCCAATATTAAGAATGGATCTTAAAGGTGTTTTGGTCAGTGAAAGGAGCTGGGCCTCAAAGGCCACATAATGTATGATCACACTTGCATGAAATTCTGCAAAAGGTAAAATTGTACAAACAGAAAATATATCAGTAATTGCCGGGGGGTTGGGATGGAGAAATTACTGATTACCAAAGAGGAAGATAAAGGAATTTCGGGGGTAGTGGAGCTGTTAAGTGAGAAAATGTGGTGGTAGGTGACAAACAACTGTCTGTATTTGTTAAAACTATAAGAACTGTAGGGGCTTCCCAGGTGGTGCCAGTGCTAAAGAAATCAGAGAAAGAAACTGGCAAAAAGAAAAAAGAAAAAGGTATAATCATACTATACCTTTACTATAATCATGACCCTTATGGTGCTGGACTGGTATCCAAGACTTAATTCAGTGCGAATTTTCATAGATACAGGAGATATGTGTGCATGTGTGCACAATACATATATCTATATGTATATGTATATATATGGAAGGATGAAAAGTAGGAGGGAAGAAGGGATGGAAGGAGTGAAGGAGGGAAGGAATGAAGGAAACAAAGGAAAAGGAAATATCAATACACTGTTGAAATACCTGCTGTGTTCCATTGCTTATCTCACGTGACCTTGGAAACTCCAAGGGGAATTTCAATTTCCACAACATGAATTTCCTGTAGAAAGACTCACTGCTAATTTTGAAGCACTATACAGTTAAGCCTGAAACAATGGGTTGGGGTTGGGTGGTGGGGGGTTGAGGCACCAGCCTTCCCTGCCGTGGAAAATCCATGTATAACCTGTAGTTGACCCTCCAGGACACTCAGTTCCTCTGTATTCACTGTTCTGCATACATGTGTTTTATAATCCGGCCCTCGATAGTGTAGTATTTACCAGTCATAGAAACCTGTGTGTAAGGGGACCCGAGCAGTTCAAACCCAGCAACTGTATGAGAGCTGGATGGCATCGGGAGAGGTTACTCACCAAACCAGACGGTGTTAGGTCTTCTGTGCTGCCGCTTTCCCGCCTGCTGCCCACCTCCATTCCTGCTCCAGGCCACACACACTCGGAGCTTTCTTCTCCCCCTTGACCTTCTCTCAGCTGTGATTCACAGGAAGTAAGCGTCCGGGGCAAGGGAGTGAGAGTGGATCTCCGCGTGTTCTGCTCTGAATCCTGCAACCCACACTCCCAAGTTCAGCCCAGAGCACTGAGCCCACCATTGTCCAGCCCACCTGGACCCACAGAAATGCCGCCAAGGTGACATTACCCCAGGCCAACCAAAACCAGAATGCAAGTCAGTCGCCTGCATTTATGAGGATGCCACTGAATAATCAAAGTACATTTATTTTTGAATTACTAGTCAGAATCATGACAGAGAACTCTTATGTGATAGAAACAGTAGTAAAATACAGTACACAGCAATGTCATTTGAATGATATCAAAGACAAACGGTACATCAGCACATGAAAAACAGCCACTTGAACTACAAAGATGAAGAAATTTAATAGGAAATTTTGTTACTAAGAAAAATATATGTCCCATATCTTTATTACATACTGTACAAAATAAAATATTGCACCTATAAGTCATATAAAAATATATACAAAGAGTATTGTACAAATGCTCTCTCTTTTAACTTAAAAACCTCCAGCAATCAAGTGTGATTGGTGATGAACAACTCAGGGGCTGGCGTGTCCTCGTCACATCCCCACACCTACTCCCGACCGCCACACCCTCCAGTACAGTAGCGCTCATCCAGGTGTCGGTGAGGCTGCAGTGAGAAGAGCTGCGGTGCTCAGGATATGGCAGGGACTCAGCAAGCTTGTCCAGACACACCCGAAGCCAGAGCGCACTGTTCACCTACGTGTGGCCAGGGGCTAGGGCCAGCACACCTGCCTCAGCAGACTCTGCTGCCACAGGCCGCAGGCAGCTGTGACCCTGAACAAACACGTATGACCACTTATTTGGGGCTGGGTGCCAACTAATGCCATAACTGGTAAGATGGAAGGAAAGAGCCCCCTAACCAAATCAGCTTTAGAACATATAACATTTACTCCAAACTTCATCTTCACCCCGACACCATCACTGACCCCAAACCCAAACCCAAACCAACTCTGACCTAACCCTAATCCATAAAGTCAACTGCAGCCTCAACCCCAACTTACCTTCCATTCTCAACTAACCCAACCCTGAAATTAAAACCAACCCTAAACTTACCAAACCCCAATTCTAACTCCTCATCCTAACTGTACATTACAGCTCAACCCTAATTCACTTTGGATTCACTGAAAAATCAGTTCAAACTAAAACAGTTATTTACTATAAATGACTCTGGTCAGCTATCATGTTTCATAGTTACATTACTTTCTTACAGTTTTTCCAAAATAAAAATCCTTAGGAATATTATTTTCTGCATAAATTAGGTCTTATAAGACTTTGATTTTCTGTTTGTGTGCAAGAGAATAGTGCTTAGAAAAGTCTCATTCACAGCTCTTAAAAGGATGCTTTGAATATACTTCAAAATCAGTAGACAAGGTGGACTTTCCCTCTCCTTTGTATTCTAAGATACCTCATGCGGTCACACATTTCCTTCCACAGTTGTGAAACGGCAGCCACGTTTACTCTGTGTTTCCTTCCACAGGTTCTCTTAAGAGTGAGGACAAGGTGCCATTCCCCCCAGGACCTCCGGGTCAGTCAGGGTTACAAACCTGTCCAGAGTGACTCTCTCACAGACGACATGTAACAATCCATAGAAATGCCATCAGAGTCAACATCTTAACGACTAGTGGCCAGAGCTTCTAAAACATAGATGCCTTATCAACCTGCTGCAACCCTAGAACTGAGAGAGGCCATCAGCTGCTGTGTTTCCCAAGTCTTCAGGATGTCCCACTCTGTGCCAGTCTACAAACGACAGGAAGAGGCAGCTAGTGACAGTGCACTGGTGACCCTGGGGGTCTCCTGAGGTCCCAAGGGCAATGGCGTGCCTGCTACTTATGGGATTTTATGTTAGTCCTGGAATATATCACTTAAAAGAGTTAGAATTAAAAACCAGTCATGGGACATGACAGCATCCAATGTTAACAGTGGTGATTTTGCATTGACTTCAGTTTGATCCTAGAATTGAGACTTTTAGAGAAGTATTACAAATGTTTTGGAATAAGCTACATGGGGGAGAAGGAGCTTTTACATTTTTGTTTTACCTTCACAGCAGCATAATGACCCCCACAAAGTTTTATCCTTCTTGACACGACTGACAGCACCTTCGTTTGTAGCGGTCTAATGAACACAAATGAAGATGCTTTACAAACGTACAGTAGTGAGTTGTGTCTGTGCAGTCTCCTGAAAAAAAAATATATATACATATCCATTTAACACGGAGCTCATTAGAGACCTAGTTTTATGAACAGTAGAAACAGATCACACAGTGAAGCAAAGTAACTAGGCTTGGGTTAGAGTCAGTGCTCTGCGCTAGTCAGAAGCGCCCTGAGGGCTTCCCTGGCGGCTCAGTGGATAAGAATCTGCCTGACAATGCAGGAGATACGGGTTCAATCCCTGGTCCAGGAAGAACCCACATGCCATGAGGTAACTAAGCCTGTGAACCACATGGGCCTACGCTCTAGTGACTGGGAGCCGCAACGACTGAGCCCACGCACCCTAGAGCTCATGCTCTACAACAAGAGAAGATATTTCAATGAGAAGTCTGTGCACTGCAACTGGAGAGTAGGTCCCGCTTGCCACAGCTACAGAGAAAAAGCCTGTGCAGCAACAAAGACCCAGTGCAGCCAAAAATAATAGATAAGTAAATAACATTAAAAGAAGAGTGCCCTGGACCCACTTCTTAGCTAGGCCAGGTGGCTTCTCGCTGCCCTGTGGGGACTTCAGATCCCTCGGGCCACCTGCTCCTCTCACTAGCTTTGGGGGCGTCATGGACCCTGGGAAAGACTTACCAAAGCTATGGACTTGCTTTCTAGAAAAATACGTACATGATTCCATTTCACATAGAACTTCAGGACACTGGCATGCCTGCCCAACCCCATCCGGGGAAGCCCTGGCAGAGGGGCTGAGATTCCAGGCAGGAGGAATTCTGTGGAGAGGTCATCGGTGTCTGCGAGAAGGCCACTGGTCACCACTCCCTCAACTGGTTTTTCTTTAAAGAACACCGAGCCACACCCACATCAAAGCAGCTACTCCCCCAACATTCCAAGATCCCACACCCCTTCAGAATGACCCTATGGATGAGACCCTGAAGGTTGGCTCCCTGAGGTCAGGTTAGGACAAGATTTGGGGGCGGCTGTGATACCTGCGAGGGGTACGTACTGTCACAGGAAGGCCCCAGGCAATGCTGCCAGGAAGCAGGTTTCTTCCCTGGTGCACAGCGTGTCTTAGTCACCGGCTTGCAGCTCCCTGGGTGGACACAGTCAACTTTCCGAGACTGGAAGCCTCGGCCACAGGCTGTGGTGCAGGGCTTCCAAGGGCCTGCACGCCAACATGCGTCACAAGCTCCCAACAAGCAGTTCCTCTGAACGATAGGTCTGTGATGAAAAAAAAAAACAAACAAAACAATGGAAAATGGGAGAAGTCTGGGATCAACTCTTTCACTGTACCGACTTTTCAATGTATGAAAGGTCTGACAGTTAGGACGTCATTCACTGATTTGCACTGTTCCTGGCGGACTAAGCAAAGAGGTGGAGGAATCCGGACCTTAATGAAGACAAGCAAAGCACATGTTTCCATGAGCCTCCGACACCCATTCAAGGCCTGTACCCCAAAAGGCCACTCTCCAGAGAGAACAAGATGGCAGAGGAATAGATGGGCATGGAGTACCTCTCCACGGATACCTCAGGAACACACAAAAGTATTCAGACACAAAAGTGCCTGCAGAACACCAGCTGAGAGAGGACAGGAGTACCTGACAAGAGGAAAAGAATATATCAGTTCAGTTCAGTCACTCAGTCGTGTCCGACTCTTTGCGACCCCAAGAATCACAGCACGCCATGCTTCCCTGTCTATCACAAACTCCCAGAGTTTACTCAGACTCATGTCCATCGAGTCAGTGACGCCATCCAGCCATCTAAAGACTATATAGAACCATGCAAAACTCAGTAGGATGAAGAAACTAGGGGAAAAAAACTGGAGTGTTAGTAAGACTGGACCTGCCCTTACCTGCCCTTCGCGCGTGCGTGAAATGAAGCAGGGGGCAGGGGTCCCATCCCCACATCGGGGCAACTGTCTGAGTCAGAGGAGAAATGTTTAAGGTTGAGAGTGAAACAGCTGATCTGTGGCAGCCTAAATGGAATGAGAATCAGACAGTCCTTGCCACAGCCATACATACCCCAGACAGGGATGCAGGTCCCCGGGAAGGGGCAGCAGCTGGGAAATGGAGTTCAGGGATTGTGGAGCAATCCCAGATCAAGGGCTGCTGTTGACTTCGGAGAGATGGAGTGAAGGGAGGTGAGGGAGGAGATTGTGGTGGGAAATGCCTGTGGAGGAAAGCCAGGCAGCCATGGAAGCAAGGCGATACTGCTGAGTCACGCGTAGAGGATGGAGCCATCACCATAGCCTCTCCCCACATGTCAGAATCAGCAGCTGAATATAGAGAGCCTGGCCTGTCAAACGCCTAACACACTGAACTACAGTGTAGGACCCCAGCCAGGGTGCCCCTTTAAGTGTCTGCTGTGCCAGTCTACACAGTAGGACCCCAGCCAGGG